AGTAGAAGGGATGGAGAGTACTCAAGAAGGTGAGACAGGGAATTTTAAAGACACAGTCCAGGAAGGTTTGAAAAGAGAAATTTCTGCAGTGAATGATCCATACAAATGAACATATTTGACATTTGAAGGCCTTCCTTGAGGTAGGTGACCTTGAGCCAGATCCTACGTCTCAAGGTGATGTCCAAGGAAACTTGACCTGTGGCTGCTCGCAAGGGAGCACATTTCACCCTCACTCGTCTCCTTTGGCCAGTTTTGTCTTTTCTGTTGTGAGTGACAAATGGCTGCTAGCATTCTGGCCCATGCCTCTTCCTTACCACCCCAGAGAGAGTCTGAAATGATCTAAAATACTATCAGCCGGGCTGGTATGTTATCACTTCACGTGGAAACACAATTCGATACTATTCTAAGAAGAAAATCTTAGAGATTAATTGCTAAGAGTTTGCTCTTGGACTTGTAAAACAGCGATGTATGGAAAAAGGCAATCCTTTGGTCTTCGGTGATGGCCAGTCCTTGTTGGGCCTTCTTTCCTTGTGCCCGGTCTGTGTCCAACGTCTCCTTATCAGAGGCAAGTAAAATATGGTTTTTTCTTTGAATGCAAATCAGTGATTAAAAAGACATTTATTTGCTAGATACAGACTTTCTTTTGTGGGCAAACAGATTGCATTAATTGCACAGACGTGTAGTGTGGAATTGAGGTATGTATCATTCCATCCTCAGAAAGATAAAGGGATGAAAGACCTATGCATTTGGTTTCTTCTCTTGTCTTCTTGTTTGAAATGTTAGTATGCAGGGCAACCCTTTTGAGTCCCCTCCCACCGTGAGAGCTTTTCTCTCCTCAATAAATCCTGCTTTCTTTCTTTTTTTTTTTTTTTGAGTTGGAGTCTCACTCGCTCGCCCAGACTGGAGTGCAGTGGCCACTCCTGGCCACGGCAGCCTCAACCTGCTGGGCTCCGGCGATCCTTCTGCCTCAGCCTTCCAAGTAGCTGGAATTACAGGCATGTGCTACCACGCCCGGCTAATTTTTGATTTATTGTAGAGATGAGGCCTCGCCAAGTTGCCCAGGCGGGTCTCAAACCCGCGGGCTCAGGCCATCCACTCACCTCAGCCTCCCAAAGACGCGGGATTACAGGCTGAGCCACTGAGCCCGGCTCCTGCTTTCTAAAAGACAAAAAAAACCAAAAAACCCCGAAATGTTAGTATGCTTTCTATCCATTAAATTATCAAATCCTCATCATAACCTATAACATACCCTAATTTTCATTTGATGAGCTTGGAACTCAGAAAGGGCCAGTAATCAGACACTATCACAATATCACAGAGTTGATACATTGTAGGGCTTTAATTCAAACAGCAGTCTATTTGATACCATTGTTTTACTTAGTTGTTGCTGAAGAGTGCAGTTCACGGCAAAATCTTGGTGGCATACAGCAAGCAACAGCGAGCATTTATTTCCTGATTGTGTATCATTGGTTTGGTTGGGAGTTGTCTGGCTAGGCTTAACTTAGCTGGGCTTGGCTCTAGCGGCAGTGTGGGTTCAGGTGTGTTCCATGTGTCTTTCTTCCTTTTTGGACCAGTGAGTTATACATGGTTCTCATGACAGAAGACAATGGCACAGAGGACAAGCCCAACTAAGTAAGCACATCCCAAACATCTGCTTACAACATATTTCCTCACTTTCCCTTGGCTATAGCCCAGTAGCAGTGGGACAGGGAAATATTTTCTTCTCATGGCGGTGAGGATAGGGAGGGAGTCTGTACTGAAAAATTATCCAAGCTACCTTAAAATTCTATGTATTTTATTTGTCCTTTATGATTTATAAATATTGCACGTCTGAATGGGATGGCATTCTCAGTGAGGAGCCACCCGTATTGCATGTGCTTGTCATAAGGGGCCACATACCAAGTTGTCAGTTCCTATTTACTGACCTCGTTTGCCTCCCATCTTTGCTGTAGAGGATACTCGACTCATTATCTCTTCTCTGCCCTCATCTGTTCATGCTAGAACTCTGGAGCCCAAAATGACCAGTAAGTGACTCTAGAAGACTATGGTTATAATTACTCACCTGGAATGGAATAAATATGTTCTGTTTTTACACGATTTTAAATGGCTAAGGGCTGTGATAAGGAAAATATTTATAATACAAGGTCTAGTACAGGCAGTAGAAGGCAATCAAAAGTGCCAAAAATAGTGGGATATGGCAGGACCGGGATTACTTTTTCTAGAAACAGCAGATTGCAAGCATTACACCAGCCAGGATAGGTGTTTTTTGTTGTTGTTGTTGTTGTTGTTGTTGTTTGTTTTTTGTCTTTTGCCTTCCTCTACTTTGTGCTCAATAGCTGATGTGAAGCTAAGATGCCCTTACGGGCAATTCAATGATAATCTCAGATGTCAACATCTTGGGTTTAGAGGTGGTGATTTTGTATTCTCCACCCTTTTTGTTTATTACTAATATGGTTTGCAAATTAAATGGTGAAAAAATTATGGGACAGAGACAGAATTCCTAGTTTTAGTCTCAACTGTGTCAAAATGGCATGGCTGGAAAACAGCATTTAAAGTTTCTGTGAGTAGGTTTTATCCTGCAGCAGACTGATATCATATGACCTTTTATGCCTTTTGTTATCGAATGTTACCTCTGTCACAAGAAGACTGAAAAGACTGATCCCCAAGGGAATAAATTGAGTGATTTGTCCGGGATCTCTTATTCTTTCATTTTTAGATTTATAAGGTCTCTGTGACCTTCAGGACTCAGGGCTGTAACTAACTCTTGTTTTTTGGCTGATGATAGTTGGCTTGAGGTCGTTGTTCAAGGAGTATCTCCCATCCTCTTGATGCACGCGAGACAGTGTTTCTTGTTGTGACTGCCCCAGCATATTTGTTTCCATGGCTGCATTTTTTGAGTGTCATTTTAAAAAAGTTATATATTTGAATATCCATAAAAGAGTCTATGGGCCTTCCCTGGACCACTCGCTTGTAATTTATAAGCATGCTCCTGTGATCATGGAAATTATCTACACAGTGTCACCCGGTAACTTTCACGGTCAATGTAAAATGACTTCACTACTAGTTATCCATTTTTTTCCCACAGTACTTACTCGTTCATCATTATTATTGTATCACTCGTGGCTCCATCAGAGTTTTCAAAGGGTTCTCAGGGAACGTCTCCAAAAACTTGCAGTAAATGTGCCACAAATACTGGACCAAGATCGCTTAGATAGGTCTGACTCCAGCAGGAATGAAGGTATCCCAGTGCGTACAGGATGCACCAGGCATCCTTATCCTTCTCCAGCGTGAGGAGGTGTGCAGCCCAGCAGCATTCTGTGCATGTCAGAGCTGCTTTGTGGCAGCTGGTAGTGTGAATGGAAAATGTGTAAAGTGTTTTTAGGTTTTTGGAGGACAGGCAGCATGTCTGTGCCAACTATTGTTGTGGTGAAGGAACCCAAATCTAAATCGGTCTGTATGGTTGGATTGCTATGCTTAGTTTATTTAAAACATGGCATTTGGAGAGAGTTAAAATACCAGCACACTGTGTCTTTGCCTTTTTTTTTCTTTTTTTCTGAAGCAAATTGGTTGGGTCTGTTTGCAAAGGAATTAGCTGTAGGAGAGCCTGTAAAAAGGCACGTGCCTATTGTAATAAGCCTTCTTTGTGGTAATTCTTGTAGAAACAATCATCTATATTGATTTATAAGGATGGAATTGAGTGGGGACATTGATTCAAAATAAGAGTCCAGCCATGAATTACTTTCGTTTATGGTGGAATTCACACAACTGATTCAGATTCCTTTTGTACAGTGTAAGGTTGCTTGTCCAGTGGTTAGATGTCAAAATGCATTCAAAATTTTCTTGATGAGAAACGCACCCCTGGTAGAATGTGTGATTTGTTTTCTTGAAGCTAAGACTGTATTTTACGTCTGCTATGTGGGAGATGGCTGCCTGCATATCAGTGGTTCTTAGGCAAGAGAGGATTGCTTTAGAATGAAGTAAATAACCTTATCAGACACTAATTTCATGGGACAAGAATATAAATGTAGTAAGTAATCAGAGTGCATGCAAATAGCAGCAAGATGATTTTCACAACCATTGGCACTCAGTTTGCGAGATGTCTTTCCTATCTAAGAGACTGAAATTCTGTTGCCCCGAGGAATGAGATATTCTCAGGGGTCAGTTATGATGTGATGAAAACAAAGTAGTCTTTTGTAATAACAAGGGGTCCTGTATTTGGTGATCATGATGAATTTGCTTTTCCTCCTGGCATTCTCTCCTGGTCTCCCAAGACTGACTTTCATGTCCTTTCCTACATTCTTCCATATCTCTCTCTGTGTTTCCTTTTTATTTATAGAGACAGAATCTTGCCTTGTCACCCAGGCTGAAGTGCCGTGGCACAGTCATAGCTTACTGCAGTCTCACACTCTTGGGCTGAAGTGGCCCTCTTTCTCAGCCTCTTATTTAGCTGCCACTACACCTGGCTAACTGTTGATAGAGGTGAGGTGTCACTGTGTTACCCAGGCTGTTCTTGAGCTCTTAGCCTCAAGCAATCCTCCCACCGTGATCTCGCAAAGTGCTAGGATTATAGGAGTGAGCCACCTTGCCTGTCCTCTCTGTGTTCCTTGATGATAACATATGTCACACTAAAATATAATTGTTCTCAGACTTGGGTGCCTCTATCTTTAAATCATAAACGACTTGAGGGCAAGATTCATGTCTTTCCCAGCATATAGCAGATTGGTGTGTATACTAAATGTTGGGTAAATTAAATATTTCAGTGGCAATTGGATCCCAAATGTTGGCCTAATGTACACCAGTATGTTCAACAACACTCAGTTTTTAATCTGATTCCAACATTGCCACCTCACAGAGTACTGGTCTGGTCTTCCTGTCTTTAAATTGACGAGGTCGGAAACTGGTAATCTTCAAGTAATTTTCAGTGATTTACTCATGTTGAACTGCCAAATAAACCATTTATATTAATGAACATTATTTCTAACTGATAATGTGTGTTCCCACAGGGAGAATGACTTCGGCAACTTCACCCATCATTTTGAAATGGGACCCCAAAAGTTTGGAAATTCGGACACTAACGGTGGAAAGGCTGTTGGAGCCACTTGTCACACAAGTAAGGGACATTTTGAAACACTTGCTACATGTGTATGTTTCTATTGTGATTATATCCTGACTCTCCCAAGGATTTGGAAATCCTTAAAAGAGAATAAATCACTGCATTATGTTGATTACTGAATATAAATTTACTGCATGAACTATGGGCAATCTCATTGCCCTATAAGACTTGAAGTGCCTTCTAAAAACTATTCATATGATTTTTTGAAATTAAGTTGATGAGATAATTGAAGAGGGGGCCTTGGTGAAGGGGGCCCTCATTTGCAGTAATGAATTCAAAGTCTAAATAAACCATCCCTCATTCACTTTCAGATGCTAATGCACAGATAGGAAAAACTGTGTTGACTATCAATGTATATTTATTGAATTCCTTTTCTTTCCATTTACAAGGCAGAATTCATCCTGTCGGAGTGATGAGATGTTCCATTTTTGTGTTGTCACCCTTGTCACATTTCCACAAGATGACTGTCAACCGAAAAAAAAATGACCATGATTTTTAAGTTTTAAAATCTAAATTTTAGTGTCTTATGAAGCATGTTGTTTGCTATTTTAACTCTGAAATTCCTGAAATAATAAAATTTGAGCTTTTTACGATGTATTTATGGAGAATCTTTATACCAAATTAAGTTAGAGCCTATTTATATTGGTTTCCTATAGCTGCTATAGCAAATTATCATCTAGTTAGTGCCTTAATAATAATAATGTATTATTTGATGGTCCTGGAGGTCAGATATCCTAAAGTCAGCATATCAGCAGGATGCACTTCCTCTGGAGGTTCCAAAGAAAATCCATTTTCTTGCTTTTCCAACTTTCTTTAAAAAAATTTTTTTTTTTTTAATTTTAAAGATGTGGGGTACGATTCAGGGATAGGGATACAAATGTTCATTATGCAGGTACCCTTGTTGATGAGGTGTGCCCCTCCCTCCCCTGGCAGTTTCCCTCAACTGCCAATCCCACCCCTCCTCCCATGGCAGTTTCCCACTAACGCCAATCACTTTCTTATAGGATTATAATTGTTCAAGATCCACTTATGAGTGAGAACATATGGGACTCTTCTTTGTTTCTGTGGTAGATCACTGACTATGATAGACTCTAAATCCATCCAAGTTGCTGCGAAGCCCATATATTTGTCCTTCTTTGTGACTGCGTAATTTTCCATTGTGTATATTTACCATTGTTTTTATCCAGTTGGCAGCATGGTTGGTTCCATGTTTTTGCTATTGTGAATAGAACTGCAACAAACATTCGTGTGCAGGTATCTTTTTTGTAGAATGATTTGAGTTCCTCTGAGTATATTCCCAATAGGGAAATTGCTGGATCATATGGAAGGTCAATTTCTAGTTCTTTGAGAAATCACCACACTATCTTCCAAAGAGGATGGACTAGTTTGTATTCTCACCAGCAGTGTAGACGCGTTCCTTTTTCTCCATATCCTCACCAGCATCTATTGTTGTTTGACTAATTAATGATGGCCTTTTTTACTGGGGTTAGGTAGTATCTTAATGTGGTTTTGATTTGCATTTCTCTGATGTTGAGTGAGACTGAGCACTTTTTCATGTGTCTGTTGGTTGCCTGTATATCTTCTTTTGAGAAGTGTCTATTCATGTCTTTCGCCTACTTTTTATTTTATTTTTATTTATTTATTTTTTGGTTTTGAGTGGAGTCTCACTCTGTTGCCCAGACTGGAGTTCAGTGGCCGCTCCCGGCCACCGCATCCTCTACCCGCTGGGCTCCGGCGATTCTTCTGCCTCAGCCTTCCAAGTAGCTGGAACTACATGCGCGTGCTGCCACACCCGGCTAATTTTTGATTTTTATTGTAGAGATGAGGTCTTGCCAAGTTGCCCAAGTGGGTCTCGAACCCACGGACTCAGGCAATCCGCTCACCTCAGCCTCCCAAAGCGCGGGATTACAGGCTGAGCCACCGAGCCCAGCTATCGCCCACTTTTTAATGGGGCTGGTTTTTTTTTTTTTCCCCTTTTGGCGCATCCTTTTCTGGCTCCTTCTCCAGGTTCAAAGCCAGCAGTGTAGCATCTTGGAATGTCTCTGTCTTTTTCTGACCTTTATCCCTTACTCATGTCTCCTTTCTGACATTGCCCCTCATCTCTCCCTCTTAAAAGGACCTTTGCGATTATATTGGGCATACCCTAATACCGAAAAAAAATTTCCCTATCTCAATATCCTTAGCCTAATCACATATGGAGAGTCCCCTTTGCCATTTAAGATAACATATTTATAGTATCAAGGAATTAGAGTGGGGTTATCTTCAGCGGTCATAATTCAGCCTGCCACAGTCTGCCCACTCGTCCTTAAAGATTCATATCCTTCCTGCTTGCAAAACACATTCACCACATTCTCAGATCCTCAAACGTCACAACCCATCCTACCAACAACTCATGTTCACAATCTCATTTAAATTTCATCATCTTAAAAAAGGCTTAAAGTTCCAAATCTCATCATCTAAATCATTTAAATTAGGTATGGGTAAGGATCTATTTATAATCTATCCTGGAGCAGGGTTCCTCTCTATCTGTGTACCTGTGAAACTAAAAAGCAAATTATATGCTTCCCAAATGCAATGTCAGACAGACCTAGGGTAAATGTTATAGACAGTCCCTATTCAAAAAGAGAGCAAATGGAAGGAAAAAAGAGTTGCCAGTCTCAATAAATTTAGAAATTCACACGGGCAAACTTCTTATATCTCATGGCCTGTGAATGATTCTCTGTGGGCTTGGGTCTCTGCCCTCTGGGCCTGGTCTTCCATTTTCAGGATCATTATTTCTTTTCCATGAATAGTTGAACATATTTTCAGCTGAGTATATCTGTCATCCCATTACTACCTGTAGAATTTTGGAAGTCCAACAGCCTTTTTGAATTTATACGTTTCCTGCTCATTACATACCAAGCTGACAATGTTTCTACTGTTATAGCATTCTCAAGATCCTTGTGATTTTCCTTTTTCTTTTTTGAGTTGGAGTCTCACTCTGTCGCCCAGACTGGAGTGCAGTGGCCGCTCCTGGCCACCGCAGCCTCGACCTGCTGGGCTCCGGTGAGCCTTCCGGCTCAGCCTTCCGAGTAGCCGGAATTACAGGCATGCACTACCTCGCCCGGCTAATTTTTTGATTTATTGTAGAGATGAGGTCTCGCCTGCACAGGCGGGTCTTGAACCCGCGGGCTCAGGCAATCCACTCACCTCAGCCTCCCAAAGGTGCAGGATTACAGGCTGAGCCACCGAGCCTGGCTGTGATTTTCCAATGTATGGTTTTGGATTTACTCCACTGGAAACCAGGCTCCTCCACAGATCTTTCCTGCATAATTCTATCCCTATTTTCGGCCTTTGCTGTAGGAGCTGAGGGCATCCATGAACTAGGCCTAATCTTTTCAGTGTCCTCTGCTGACTCTGAGCTTTTAATTTTTACAAAGTACTAGTGGAAGGTTATCTAGACATACAATTGTCTTTCTCTCCAAGCATGCTTTCTTGAAACTGAGACTTCTCATTTTAGTCTTTTGCAGTCTTCATAGGCTGAGCATATTTAAAATGATCAAGTCTTTGATCTTTTTAGCTTAGTCGTTCTTCTCTCTATTCATCTCTTTCCTCTCATATTTTACTATAAACAGCAAGAAGGAACCTAACTGCTCCTCCTATGTGTTGCTTAGAAATCTCCTCAGCTAAATATCCAAGTTTATCACTTACACTTGAGATTTCCACATAATTCTAGGAATCAATTCAGCTGAGTTTTCTGCAACATTGTAGCAAAAAATCTTTTCCCCAGTTTACAATACCATGTTTCTGATTTCCTTCTGAGCCCTCACCAGATCTCCACTAATGTCCATATTTCTACCAGCAGTCTGATTATGATTGCATAAGTATTCTCCAACAAGTTAAAGATCTGCCATACTCCTTGTTTCCTTCAGAGCAGAGCCTTTAATATCCCTATTTTTAAGAATAGTCTATTTAAAGGCAAACTACACTTTTAAAAATCATCCTCGTCAAAATTATTCCAGCCTCTGATCACTATCAATTCCAAAGTCATTTTCTACATTTTTAGGTATTTGTTTCTAGTAGTGCCCCACTTTCCAGTACCAAAATCTGCATTAGATTCCATTTGCAACTGTAATAAATTATCACACATTTATTAACTCAGTACAACACAGATTTATTATTCTACACATCTAGGGGTGGGAAGTCCTAAGACTAAGGTGTTTGTAGGGCTGTCTTTCTTAAAAATACTCTAGGGAAGCATCAGGTCTCTTGCCTCTTTTTGCATCTGCAGTTCACCTGCATTCCTTGTTTGCAGCAACTTCTTCCATTTTAGAAGAAATATCTCTCTCTCTCTCTCTCTCTCTCTCTCTCTCTCTGTGTGTGTGTGTGTGTGTGTGTGTGTGTTTATCTCTCTCTCTCTCTGACTTCAGTTTCTACTGTCATCTTCTTCTTTGCATCTTAATTCCACTACCTCTCTCTTATGAGGGACCCCCGTGATTACATTGGACCCATTCAGATATTCCGGAATAATCTCTCCATCTTGACATCCTTAATCTAAGCACATCTGCAAAGTACCTTTTGCCATTTAAAGTAACACATTCACAAATTCCAAGGATTAGAATGTGGACATCTTTGCATGTAATTCATGAAACATTTTATTATTGTTTATTATTCATGCACATTTTCCATTTGGTCATGATGATTGTTAGCTCTATAAACATTAAGGAACATCTATTAGTGATAGGCTCTTAGATTTGGGAGCATGTGGGCTACTACTCAGATTTGTGGTCTGCGAACTAGAGATGATAGATGAATTGTTTGCTATTGATGTACGATAATCATAAAATTGAGGATAAGCACTGAAAGTTTTATAGATATTTGACAGAGTAATCGTATGTCTGCTGGACCTAATAATAAAATATGAACTTGTAACTTTTAGAATTTTAAAATTTTTCATTTTGTTGTATTTTTAAAAAGCTTTGGTTTGTGAGATTTTGGAATGATAAAAATGAAACCTG